ACTGAGTTTAAATCGCCAATAAATCATGTAACAAGTATACAGTTATAGTTTTTAATATTCACTCTTAAAACTATCATTCACATGATTTCGATTTTTCTGGTGGCAACTATTATGGAAAATAGAACAGTTACATAACATTGAACTAAAAGATTACAGAAATAATTTGATTTATTAATCTCTAATTTAAATTTTTATCCATATGTTCTTCGTGAAACAAAAGAATGTCGATTGAAGCGACCAAAATAGAATTGTTTGACTATCAATAGTAAAACATTTTAGAGGACTGAAATAATCTTTGTATGTACATAATCACACTGTAATGTGTGCTACTTATGTTGACATAAGTAGTATATGACGTTTGTCGTGATCAGAATGTCTGGCAACAGAGAGGCAAAACGATTGAACAGTAAAAAATGGAAACAGGATGCAATTGGTATGAAAATAAAAGAACAATGAAGTCTGAGTCATTTAAGACAGTCAATGGACATTTTGTAGATTAAGCATTTACTTTATGATTTTTATATTTTCTTAACAAATCCTGTAGTTTTGTGTCTAATATATTTGACTGTCCCCACTGGTGTTCTGTTCACTAGCTAATTGGAAAAAATTTTTTTTGTAGGGTGTTCAGATGATTTATTAAGATCATGAACCGATTGATGTTAGACCACCACAATTGAAAACCTGGAAGCACTGGATGGCCGTTTCGTTCTATTGCGGGACTCCGCAGCAGTGCCCATCCACGGTCCCGCTCGCAGGATTCGAACCCAGGGCCTTCGGTCTCGCGCGCGAACGCTCAACCAACTGGACCAGTGAGCCGGCATCCAATGGTGATAGTTTCTAACATCAACCAAATCACGAAATTGCGCGACCAACTTCAGATGATTACTAAATTCGAAATGTTATTACCATGGACAAACTTTACTGAGTATTCAATAACTTTTAGTTAACTAAATACAAATAATAAATGTTACGATCATTGTGTCGATAAATAAATCAATAAATATGGTTGGCTAGATTATTCAGCTTAGTGGTTGCCCTTTTTTTTCCCAACACCCAAGAGATTAGGTTATAGAAATGAGTACATTAATTCTAGTAGCGAACTAACTGAAAGCGAGCGACGGAGACAGATAGAGGAAAACTTCATTGTAGTTCAACCATTGTAAAATGAATAACAGTATTTAAAAAAACACAAAAGCAAAGAAGATGAGAATGAGTTTTTAAAGGTGTTACTGTTCCCTTTTTAATTCCCAGTATATTAAAATTTATATAAAAATGTTCATGTAAATGGAAACATTTTGAATTTTTGTAAAGTACTTCATATGGGTAGTAAAACAATATTTTATGGTAACAATTCAAAATGTAGTCTATCATGTTAATGTTATGAACATATATATGCATAACTATCTACCTAGCGCACATTCGAATATGCGGTGCATACTATTTTTGTATTCTACCGATATCATCAGCTGTGAGCCCAATTAGGACGAAACGCTCATCCTGGATTCCATTGCTAGACATTATCCATCTCTATTTATAATGTTTGTGACGTAAGACAATAACGTGGCAATCCGTACAGGATGTACATATGCCAATACAAGACTGATCAATTGCAATCTTAAACATCAATGGGAAGATTAAAACAAACAATACAAAATGGATCTAAATAATGAAAATTCTTATGAACACTTATGTGATCTTCCAGTATTTTTACTAAAAATTTTAAAATATCAGAATCAGGTTGAACTGTCAGTCATGTAGTAGATGGAGTAACGGAATCTTTGGGTTTATATTGAATGAAATGGGCAAGACCGCATTAAAATGATATGACCAAATTTGTTATTTGCTCATCAAATAGAATTTCAAATCCTAACTTAATATATTATGTAATATGTCAGAAAACGGAATCTTTCCTCAATTAATCGAATTTGAGAATAAAGAGATATATATATTAGGACAGGGCGGCCTGCTTGAGCATCTGGGCTACCTGTTTCCTGCCATCTAGATATTTCAACAAGTTATCTATTTTTTTTGCTTTAATATATCATTATGTCTATTTATCGCATAACCTATTCTGCTGCGTTTCTGAAAAGTGTACAATCTTTCGTTGTCAAAGTTACAAAAAACTCAATAAGAGACAATGTGGTTGCTGGCAATATACAACGAAAAGAATGTACATTATTCAGATGTTCATTTAGTGAACTGCTAACATCTAACTGACGATCACTCAATATTTATCGCCAGGACCTACCAAGAAGAAAGAAACGGGAACTTGTTGAAATACTTTGCGTTGAGAATTCTATATTGTACCAAAAATATAATATTGAATAAAGTTAATAATAATAATAATAATAATTGAGAAATTGAAATGATCATAATTTTCAATGACTCCAATAAGTTGACAGTTAAACAGTAATTAATATAAACATAGGAACTTTATGGAGATTATTTAATCTTATTGGTTGCATTACTGATTAAGCTTGGTTAGATAATTAATAAAATCTAAGAAACATTTAGTATCTATTTTGTATTAGTATAGAACTGCTCAGTAGTACTCTTTCATGATGCTAACATAATGGATTAAGTACAGAATATTCCAATCTAATGGCAAATGGTTAACCTACAGTCTACTGATTTGACATCAACTGTTTATATTTTTCATAATAATCAATTCATAGTATTGTTTAGTCATCTTCTAGTGTTATGCATCAATAACTGTCTCACACTGGAAATGGTTGAAGTCTACTGGAACAAGACAAGTATTCAGTGTTCTTTTTAAAAAAATATATTTTGTCAATGGTTGTTTAACTAAGCTAAGTACGTAATACAAACGAATTAATTTGATTAACTACATATAACAATAACAGAAAAATCAAATGAATGTATTATTCCCACTCCTAAATATTTAATTAAAACAAGCAATTTTCCTAATGAAGACCAATAATAAAGTTGATAAAATGATCTAAAAATATAGTCAGTCAGTCAGCTACAACGTAGGACTAGGTACATATATCCATCGGTCCAAGTTGCCACACCACATTAGCACAACAAGATGAACACCGAATTCATGGAAATAGTTACTTTAATCGTAGTAATATATAAAAGAATGATTGTGCATAATGATATAGTACAGGAAGAAAGAATTAGTTCGTAAGAAGAAAGATATAAAGCAATTTTAATCTTACCGTTTAAGGGCAGACAAAGTGTGTATACACCTACACCATTGTGATCGATTCTGAGCTATGTCACTATGAGTCTCCAACCAGTGGTTACAATAGTTATGCGGACCCCAACTAAGTAGTCTGCATCTACCAAAATGGCTCAGACTAGAAGTTAGTGTCTTCAAGGACTGATGCCAAGTTTTAGTTAGGCCGGCCCTAACTTTCTTACAACCATCTCCAACATTAGTCAGCATTGCGCGTCGTGGTAATCGGTGTTCAGGTATATGTAACACGTGGCCCAACCATCTCAGTCGATGAAGATTCACAACCTCATCAACTGATTTACGATCATTCCCTAATACCCTACATCTAACCTCTACATACATAGAGAAGAATATTAAAAATTACTAGAAATCTTTCCTATATTAAGTGTTATTCAGTAATGTAGTCAAAATTTTCATAAATAACTTAATATTCAGTATTATTGTAGTAGCTTTATAGTTGTATCAAAGTATTAACTCTGTTCCATTATATTACATGTATTACATGTAAAAATGAATTAGACTTAATCAACAAATTTTTATCAGAATGAGTTTTGTGGGGATTTTAGAAATTTCACTGGTTAAAATCATGAGTCAATTGAAGCAAGATAACCATGGAACAACCTGGAAGCACTAGACGGCACTGCTGAGGAGTCCCATACTAGAACGAAACGGCCATCCAGTGCTTCCAGGTTTTCCATAATGATCTAGCTTCAATTGACTCATGATTTCAACCAACAAATTGTTGTTGTTGTTGTTGCTGTAGGGTTTACAGATTATTTACCTGACATTTCATCAATCAAGCTATAAATTCTCATTTACTAAACCTATATATATATATATATATATATTAATGACCTGGTCAAATATTTAGGTCATGTACTTTTCAACTGTACATAGATTATAGTAAACTTTAATATTTTACATATGATTTGAACTGAACACTTTATAAATGTTAATTATGTGTACTTACAGGTTTGTTACCATGTAAAATAGTGAAAAACTCTAAATGAATACACTACACTATATGTATTTTTTAAAACAATAAATAACTAAAATATATTAGAAATGATAGATTTTATCATGTAAATGTTAAATAGAAACAAATAGTTATAATAGTTGAATTGTTAGGAAACTATTGTGATTGAAAATGATTAGTAGATATTATTGACTACTGAAAAGTTTTTTTCCTAAAAATATGAATACTTAGTTGAAGGGGGTTTTTTGTGTGGATATTATAGTAATTTCAAACAGTTGTGATCATGAGTCAATTAAAGCTGGATCACCATGAAAAACCTGAAAGCAATGGACGACCATTTCCTCCCAGTATGGGACTCCTCATTGGCAGTGTGGATCCATGATCATCCTACCTTGCGAGATTCGAACTCAGAATCTATTGGTCTTGCACATGAGTGCTTAACCACTAGATCACTGAGCTGGCTGGGATCCAATAGTGTTAATGTTTAACTTTAACTATTACATATTTAACAAAAATTCATTTTATTATAGTGTAATTGGTGTGAAGAATAATAGATTGATATTCTTAAAGGATGAATTATATAACGAAATGAAACAAGACTCGATCAGTGGATCGAAATGAAATAGTACGTGTTTTTTTTCGTTTTGGAATTCTAAAAAAAATGTCTAATAGAAAAAGAATTAAGTATTTTAATTAGGTCAATCTTTAGTTTTACTTCAGTAAAGTTTAATGCTCGTCTCAATGAAGCGAAAACATCGTCGAAATTCAGTTTTACTGAATATATATAACGTGAAACTAACAACTAAACAATGACTAACTTACTGACTAATAGTTTTCCCCCACCAATTTTCTTTATGATGTAATATATCTGATTTTTTTGTAGTAGTATTTAATCTTATTCCATCATTATCTTTATGATATATTGATGTTATTGAATAATTTATTGGAGGTTCCATACATGATTTCATTTGATGTACACGCCAATTTCTACGTCTTTCATATAAACTATTTTCAATTGATTTTGAATTTATATTTGTAGATATAGTTGTCATAGTATTTATAGTTGTAGTTGTAATATGAGTAGTATTTTCATTAGTAGTATTAACAGTTTGTAACATATTTATTTTTTGTTTTTCAGTGTTTAATTCAATATTCATTATGATTATGATAAATATAAATAAATAATCATAAGTATAGTTATAATATATATATATATATGGTGTTCACTACAATGAATTCACTTTAATATCCATTCTATTTAATTAATTCACTGTTTGTTTTGTTCTTTTAATATTTATATCTTGTTTATCATAAACATAATCCCAACTTATTCTTTTAAAAAAACAGCATATATATACGGAAAGAGAACATTAAGCTAATTTGAATTGGGCATATGTACATAACAAGTGTGTGTGCGTGTGTGTGTGTACTTGTATGTGTGTACATGTTGCCATATAGATATGTGTCCATGTATGTAATTTGTGTAAATGAACGTGAGATTATTTATTATTTATATATATATATATATATATATTCACTTTATTTTACTGATTAAAAGAAAAAAATAAAATATTGATCATAATTGATCGATTTTTTTTAAATACAGAAATTTAATGATTTAATTTGAAATTGATCTGTGTTTAATATAGTGCACAGAGCACATTTCAAAAATCGCCATTATATATGTATATATAGTGAGTGCGTGTGTGTGTGTGTGTGTGCGTGCGCGCGCGCGCGCGAGAGAGAGATTAAATGATCAATTTATATATTAGTATTTAATTATTCAATTTACAATTATTTGATTTATGCTCAAATTCTTATTGGATAATAATGATTGGTCAATTTTATTATTGTTGCTAATTCTCATTTGATTGGTTAAAATTATTTGAATGAATGAACAAATAGGTAAATCAGTAAATGAGTAAACAAAAAATAAATATTTTAACTTATAAATTGTAGAATTTATATTATGCAAAAAGGATTATTATTATTATTATTATTATTATTATTATTATTGCACAAGTTAATTGATAAGTCTTGCGGATTGAACGTTATATTCGTCTCTTAAGCTATTCTGTAACCTCCCAAAGCTAGAACTACACAGCGACATGAACACGAGAGAGAAGACTTAAAGTATGCGAGAAGTAGTTTACTCCAAGGTTCATTTTAATACAGAGAATACAGGGGTTTTTATAATATTTTAAATGTCTTTGGGTTGCTAGAAGATTCTGGAATGCTAATAAACATAGTAGCAGTGTAGCAGCTAACCAATCAGAGTCTCTGAACGTGACCTTTCGCTTCTTTGATATTTCTGGCTAAAACTTCAAGTGGACGCTGATTGAATGAAACGCTCCTTAGTATTTCCTGATGTTTGCTTGTCTTTTTGCAAGCAATTTTCTAGATCACCCCAACATTAGTGGCCATCTGGACTCAGTAACTGAGTGGATAATGTGGTGGAATTTGAAGCCGACAGTACTGGGTTCGAGTCCTAGAGTGAACATCAACTTTGAGATGTAGGTACATCTAGCTGACGAGTCCCAAATTGAACGAAACACGCATCCTAGATCTTACTACTAGACACTACCCATTTCTACTCATAATGCTTGTGAATTAAGGCAATAACAACACGATACACATAGTACGCATATATGCTTATAATGTTACTGATCCATCGCAGTCCTAAACATCAATGCGAAGATCCAAACAAACAATACCAAGTGAACTTGTTAATATTATTATTATTATTATTATTATTATTATTATTGATCACTTATAGCCTTAAACAGCTAACGATGTAAACTCATTAGAAAAATTGGTAAGACGGGAAACGAGTAGAGTGAAGAAATTTCTTTTCAATTAGTTTTTCATCATAGCTCTAAACTGATATATATATATATATATATATATATATATATATATATATATGATTTAAAACTGGTAGGTTCTCGGTTCGAATCTCGCGGGGTGCGGGATCGTGGGTGCGCACTGCTGAGGAGTCCCATACTAGGATGAAACGGCCATCCAGTGCTTCCAGGTTTTCCATGGTGGTCTAGCTTCAATTGATTTATGATTTCAACCAGTGAAATTTGCAACTTATCGAACAGTTACGTTACGTAATGATTGCATAGTGACGTAATGGCAAATAAATTTTCTGAACCAATGAAAAAGATAGTGAATACTATGAATTATTTCATTCTCTCTTATCAATTACTGAATGAAAACATGTAAGTTTTTATTTCGATCAGTGTTCTATAACTTTTCCTTCTTGTCAAAATAAACTTCTATAATCATAGAAAAAATCTAATCAATATAATAATGAATGAAATTACTTACGCCTATTACTGTCAATCAAGTATAGGTTGTCGACCAGCATTCTCCAACCCACTCTGTCCTGGGATTTCCTTTTTATCCAATTGTTGTTGATAATGAATGAAATGAACTATATAAATTACATTTTTGTAAATAAAGTTGTTTTTATTATTATTTATTTCTGTGGATTTCTACATCAGACAATTACTTAACTAGAAAATTAGAAGATGGTCGAACAATATTGTGAATTGATTAATGTTAGCCGTGTAAACTAGTTAATAACAACTCATCGATATAAAAGCCAATCATTCGATATGAAAATTGTAGGCCGTGAGTTCTATCTTGTAACAAAGGCTTTTATATAATATTTGTTACTAAAAATAATACAAAGAAGATTCAATTACAACTTCATTTGATGTTGTTTACTTGTATTTTCCCATTATTATTTACGACTGCAATTGATTAGTCTCTTGTTGACATATGTGCATCCTGTGTGAACTGCCTCTATATTGCCTTAGATCATAAGCTTTATAAGCAAAGATGGATAGTGGCTAGCAGTGGAATTCAGGACACACGTTTTCGTCCTAGTTGGGACTCGTCAGCTAGATGTACTTGCATCTTAGAGTTGATGTTCACTCCGCAACTCATACGCACTATCGTTCACTTCCAATGCCATCATGTTATCCACTTAGCTACTGAGTCCTAATTCAATTATATCCAAGTTCATTCAATTATAAATTGACCAAATTCAATGTTTATTATTTACAGAACTTTTCAAACGAATTAATTGTTACTTAGATGTCAAACTACAAAGGATTGATACCACTGAATATGATGAATTAATGAATACAAATTAATGTTGTGTTCAATAAAAACAATCACATTGAATTAATTCAAAGTCACTCAATTTCTGCATACTAAATTTTATTTAAGCACTTGACATCTTCAACAGAACGTAATACTTTTGATTTGAATCTTTTTCTTCTTCTTCTTCTTCTTCTCCTTCTTCTTCTATCGTTTCTAAAATGTATTGTATTATGATCTTTTTAGAGATATCATTTTTAAACTACATTTCCAACAGAAACAGTTTCATAAATACTATCTGTACTTTCATATCAGTTTTTGTGTTGAATCATAAATTTTGTTAGGAATTTCAATATGCCATGTCAACCAGACATATTCTAAATGAAAGATATTAAAGATCATATGGTATTGGTCAAGATTTAGCTTAATTTTTCGAGGAAACAGGTTTACTGTATTGATTGAAATTCTGAATTGATATCTTGAAAAAGATAGACACAAATTTATAGATGAGTTTGTGCATATATTTCGATTAGGGTTAACCCGTCAAAGCTCCTTACACATTCTTGGTCTTTTTTACCAAATTGGATAGTCCGAATTGTATATGGGAAGTGTATGTAACAGTATTAGACTAGGATGATTATAGAATGCAACATATTTCTGTTCAGTAGGTCCGAAATAATGGGGATAATACAAACACTTAGAATCAGATTGTTGCTGTATGGATATTTTGATTAAGTCAGAGATATTATCATCAACATTTTTATTGTTTAATAATTACTATTTATTTGTGGAAATCGTTTCCTTTGTAACTTGTTTAACGAATTGGCTTTAGATTCAGACCATCAATCGATCGATATTAGACCACCATTAAAAATTTAGAAGCAGTGGACGGACGTTTCTTCCCAGTAGTACGCATCAACAATCCTGCAGGCGGTACCCGAACCCAGAACCTCCACTCTCGCGCTTCCAGGTTTTCAATGGTGGTCTAACATCGATCGATTCATGATCTCAATCAAAAACCTAACAATCTCCCCAACCCCCATACTGAGAATCGGCTTTAAAGAGACAATCATTGAAAGATCATAGAATAAAACTGGATGTTACAGAAAGCAAATAATAACAAGACTCTCAATTAATTTAATGAGACGAGAGTTCATTTCTGCATGAGACTGGATTTTGACAAGTTAGCTATTATTATTTTCTGTATCCCATTCTAGTGTATTCTGAAAATTTCTGTTATGAATTCACTCAGTGTTGACATTTTTCATGGATAAAAGTCATTTTTAAGCTATAATTTTTTGAATACAAATATTGAAAAGGATACTTTTCCGTGAAGTATATTCTACTCAGGAGCAGACAAAACTTACATTCCAATGTCTGTTTAATAGTTGAGAAGAGAATCAAAATGTTTGGAGGGCATAGTGTTGAGTACTAATTATGAGTGTTCTCTTATTTCATTAACTTTCTCGTTCACATCATCCGACAGGATACCAAAGAACAATTTATAATGTTGGACACTACTTGTTTCAGACTAGTAGAAGTACTGTTCAACGATGAACATCCAAAACTCTGCCATAGATTAAACTCAAGACCCTCAAAACACAGCCACTGGTTCACATTTTTAATTTCAGTTAATTTATGACATTAAGTGATCATCATTCATTTTTATTGATCCTTGTACTTTCTGGTTATTTACATATTGTCTAACTACATAAAATCAGTCCATGATTTAAAACTATAAATCACTAATCAACGTTACTCACTCTCTATTCAATAATTATGTTTTGATAGTCGAATTCATCAATCCATGTAAGCTAGACCACCATTGAAAACCTGTGATCATTAGATGGATACATCATCTAATTATGGGACTCCTCCAAGATCTCGTACGAGGGACTGGAACCTAGAACCCTCAGTCACACGCACAAACTCTTAACATCTTTACCGCTGACCTGGCATCCAAAGATGTCAATGTCTATCTTCAATCGATCCATGATCTTGAGCAACGAAAAGGCCGTCTAGTGCTTTCAGGTATCCAATGGTG